TGCAGCCAAGCAAACGTTGACTATGCTTTTGAGTGCATCCGTGAACAAGACCCCCATGCAAGGACCCAAGTGCAGCTTTCATATGCTCTTTTTGGCGACAAGATGCAAGCCCCCTGACATGATCCTGTTCGTTTGAACCACCAAAAAGATCCTTGCGCCCGCGTTGGACCGCTGTAGATCATTCAGGCGGGACGAAGCCAGGGTTGGTCCCTCGGCGCTTCGGCTGCATCTCATCAGCCACGCGGGGATTTTCTCATTTCTGGTTGTCGAACGGCACTGCCGCTTTGGGCCTGGTCACCGTGGGGTCAACAGGGAGGTGTGAAGACCTTGTCGTGATATGGAGGGATCGGTCGGCCGCTTGTCATGTTGGTTGAGACAGCGGTGCTGCAAATAACGGTAGATGATAGCGGCATGCTTCAATAGATGGATCCTCACGAAGCATGCGGCTTCTTTGTCACCGGGGCGCAGGCAGGCTTTGTGCTTCGTATTAGGTGCAGCCAGCACTCATCGTGATGATCGGATCCACTCCACCCACCGCGACGTTGAAGGGAATACCGGCGTGCTATAATAGGCTTCGACCTAGTCTATAGATGCGCTATTTGCAGTGCTAGACGATGGCGCGAGCGGAATGACATGCCAGCTACGTGAACGCGCGTATCGCCAGACGGGCACACTGTGCCCGGTGTTGAGTGCCGGGTGCGATGCGCAGTGTTTGGATCAACAGACCGGTCGCTCGGTTGTTCACGCCCGACAGGCGACGTTAGCCACGGTGCGCATGGTTTCAAGGCGTGCGCAGGTGGAGCACGACGCTGGCAAAAGGTTAAAGTGCTTTTCCTCGGCGGTGCCTAAGAGAGCAAGGGTGCAAGACTCGACACAACCTCATGTACGGGGGCCCTTTAGGCGTAACCCGTCGTGGCGGCACATGTACCCAGGCCGGGGGGTCGACCGATGGACGGCGGCTTCTTGCGTCCGGTGTGCTCAGGCTACAGAACAGTAGCCAGGCGTGTGAGGGACAGTAGCGACAGTACCGTAGTCAGTAAAGAGTACTAGAGGATGCAAGGCTGATGACATGCCGATGCTCAGCGCTGATTGCTCCAATCTCCGCGAGTGGCTCGCCGTTGGCTGTGTGACCTCGGCCAGCGATGCATGTCTGATGCTGCATGCCTCTGCAAAGTCCCATGTCATCGACTCGCCCGTCCCCGTTACAGGCGGCAGGGGTGGACTAGCTGCATGCCGATTTCTGGAAGACGCTCGGCTAGGGGCAGGCCAATGGACAGCCCGGAGGCGCGCCCACCCCAGATCGCGCTTGGATACCGTGGGCCAGCAGTGTGGTTTGCCGGCTGCACGCGCGACCACGCAGGAGGTGCTGGGTGCGGGTATGGTGGACCGATTGCAGTGCGCGGGCGGCGCTGATTGGCTCACGCCACTAGCGCGAAGGGCTGCTGTGAAGGAGTAGGCGTAGCGCAGCAGGACCCAACCTCGCTCCGCTTCTTCCAACCCTTTCCGAAACTACTGCGCCAACCAAAGTTTGACCCCCCATCCGCCCCTGATCTCGCGATGCTGCTGGCGCCGACACGGATCGTTGCTGGATAATGCACTTCCTCCTGCAGGCCTCCCACACACGACGCCTTATGTCGCCCATGGAGTATCGCCGGCCGCCTTCCACTAATCATGCCATGCGCAGGCGCGGCTAAAACATGACGCTCCTCTTCCCTAGCTGACCGCCTGGAGGGCCACCGCCCCATGCACACGACACTCTCCCCGGCGTGGAGCCCAGCTGAGTCGCACTGCACCGCTCGACAGGGCCTAGTCGCACTACCGCTTTCTGCCATCATCGTTGCGGGCGCTGTGGTTCCCTGGCCTGCCTTCTCCATGAGCCGGCCGTCGTCTAGCTGCACGGATGCTCCGTTGCGCGTTGCGCCATGATACATGGTACGCCGCCCTCGTCTACCTTCCCTGTCGTGTGATTTGGTCATTCCAAGTCTTCCTTTTCGCTCCACGCACTATGCCTTTCGTTGATCGTTCCAGCCGTGCCACTGGCCCTAGTCGTCACAGCGCACCTCACCGAGCCATCCCTTGGTGGCTCCGTATAGTCAATACACTCCCGTTCCTTGTCTGCACCTATTCCACTATTAGCTGTTCTTGAGTTTCGCTAGCCTGGCCCTGGCCGTCCTTGTACCATGACTCCGGCCGCGAGGTTACTCTACCTCAATTTCCCCATCCACCCTTCCTGATCTGTCTATATCTCTTGGCACCCCATATACCTATGCAGATGCCCCCCAACCCAGCACGCTTCCAGGTCAGACAAGACTGATTGTCACCGACACAACCGCCTGCCACATACAAACCGCTGAGACATTCCGCCTCTCAACTGTATATCATCACTGCCTTCCTACACTACGACTTGACCACACCACCACTTGCCCACCATGTCCGGCCACATGCAAACCTCAACTCTTCACCGGCGTACCTCTCGCAGCTCAGGCAGCCAATCAGCATGCCGATCATCTCGCGTTGAAAAGACAAAGAGCCACCACAACAGCCCAAAGAGCATGGAGAGGAGAAAGACCACCACCGAGACCAAGCTCTACGCTTCCTTGGACGACCACTACAGAATGATGTTCGGTGTACCAGCCGAGGAAACCGAAGACCGTCCCCAACCAAGCAGACCTGTGAGCTGGCACCCATCGTCTGCACAGTTCCAGGCTTCACAACAAACCAACTACTTCGAGCCCATGCCTCAACAACACTGGTCACAACACTACTCTCCCTCATCCCGCGACTCTCAACACGGCTCTGACTTCTACTCTCTGTCCACACGTAACTCCATGTTCGAGCCCATGACCAGCACCCCGGCATACACCAACACCCAGTCCGAGAGCGGCTGGCAAAGCGTTCAGCCCACACCCGGCTATGTCCACTCTTCTCTAAACACTCCCTCAACCGAGCCTCTACCATGGTACCTGCAACAATGGGCTCAGAAGAACCAGGCTCAAGCATCTACCGACTTCCTGCCTATTCAACACCCTGCTCAGCAAGACCAAGATATGGAAGACGACGATGGCGAGAAGCTAGTCGCCCTGGGTCTCTACGATGCACCAGAGCCCTCATTGAGCTGGGGTGCCCTCAACAACGAAGGAACTGGAAAGGGTCTCAAGCTTGAGGAGACTTGGCAGCCACCTGAGGCTGACGATGAAGAGGAGGAAGATGACGATGCCAGCTCTGAGGCCAGCGTCGAGGAGCCATCGCCGCCTCTGCCGGCACAACAGGCACAGCACCTGCCCGTTCATGTCAAAGCTCAAACACCAAACAACATGGAAGGACAGAGCTTCTTCTTCGACGAAGACGAGTCGGTGACAAAGGAGTGGTGGTTTCACCAAATGAAGCAGCCCACCATGCCGGTGCGGGACGCCGGGCTGGGATATGGCTGGTTGTAATCTAGATGTCTGTTTCAAACGTGCGACCACGACAGAGGTCCACTGCCCTATCTTCGAGGCGAGCATTTTTTCGAGGCGAGTTCTTTCAGCACAGCGCGGCGTTTTGCATGGTTCCGCTTGGGACCGGAAAAGAGACTTAGAGATACCCTGCCTTTAGCGGCAATAGAGTGAGGCTTTGCATCGCTCACTATGAGGTCAGATGAAGATGATGTATTAGATAGCATCATCAACCAAATCAACCAAATCAACCATACTACACCATACTTTGGCCCAACATGCAGTGCTGACGAGTCTACTCTATGATGCTTGTGAACACATAGTGCCCAAGAAGCCTGGCAGTGAGCCGTAGACGAGAAAGGAAGGTGCACCCCATCGCGCACCTGGCCTGCCCCAGAACTCACAGGATGCCGTAACACGATGCATCCTCGTCCTCCACAACCCACAAGCTTCTTCAACGCTTCTAGCCTTTTCGCTCAACCGTGGTCCCAACGCACTCTCGTCTCGGCGCAAGCCGCCATGTACCAGCCCTTAGTGCACCAAACACATTGCATTCCAAGGCGACCAGCACAAGACAAACCAACATCATATGTCGGCGACATGCCGCCGTCCTCCGGTCCTAGTCTGACGCAACAGGGCCAGCGCGCAATTGTGTCACAACGCCCGGCAAAGGACCGAAGACCGATAAAATAACAGAGTAGCATCAGCCTCACAAAGTGGCATGATTGATGGGCGCAAACACGCACACGCCATGTCGGAGTGACGCAGACACCTCTACGGTCCGACCGATCGTTACGCCGTCAGACGGAGCGAGCCACGCCAGCCCTGCGCGGCAGAAGGCTATGGATGCTGCACCATCGTCCTGGTCTCTGCACTCTTTTTTGCTCAGCTCCGCCCAACTTCGGCCAGACCCGCTTCAGTTGCCCTGACCGAACATCTGAGCTCCTCCGGGCGTCTAGTGCCGAAGTTTACCAGCTAACCGAGCAGCAGGATGTGCCACGCTGCCTGTTCCCTCCTGTCATGGTCGTCACCGGAGACTAAGCAAGTAGCGCGAAGTTAAGAGTTCAGACAACAGAGGTTCCAGAAGTTGGGGAGCGTGGCTTGCGAGATTAGGTTTGCGATGCGTGGATGGAAGATGGGGGAGAGGAAAAAAACACTTCCAAGGTTTTGCCGGGTGGCTTTGCGTCATTGGCTCGATGCTAAAGGCCATGGGTGAGACTTTTAGCGCTTATCGATAGGGCGAGCAATCTGGAACGACTGAGGAAATTTCCAACGCGAGTTCACGTGCCTTCACCTGCGACGTTACATGCCCAGGTGCTGAGCTAGCCAATAGCAGGGTTTCAAACTCTCGCATTGCAGAAACGCGTCCATCTGCGCGACTGCGACTAAAGATATGGAATCGCATACCCGGTTTGTTGTTACGGCGTGGCGTGATAGTCGCGAGCTGCTTCAGCTGCGCCAGGACCTGTATAGTCCTGAGACTAGTAGGAGAGAGAAGGCGGTGAACAAGGTACGCTGGAAGAAATCAATATACTCTGCAGGAGAGTCGACAGCCACAGTGTGCTGATGACAGGTAGGTGTTTGCTTGGCGACTACGGAAACCTGATGGCTTGCCATTGCTACTGGACTCGACGGCGGATATCGTCGATGTAGTGCTTCAAGATGCAAGAGGCGAGTTGCAACATAATGCACTGCGGTTGCTGTATGCGACTGCGATATCGAGGTAGGTGTGTTCGAAGTTGAGATTCATGAACATCTCAGCAGCTTTCCTACATCCTTTGCATAGGACTCGTTCACTATGGCTTTGCAGCACCATTTTGTTCCATCACTGTCAATACTCCTCGTCCATTTCCACCAAATCATCTTCCATAACAATCTATCAATCATGATTTCATACTGCTCCAACCACAACACCATCCTATATTCATACGAACCCCCCATCTAACACCACTTCCAGATTCATCACTGGCTTAGCAGACACTCAAATCGACCTAACCCGCGACCGGCCCTCATGGTTTCCCCCCGGCAAATCCCTCCAACTCCCCCTCACCCTCCTAGAAACCCGTCACCGAATCGTCCACCGACACCTCCCCTCCCTCGCTGAGCTAAAGCGCGCAGCCACGGAATCCCTCTCCTGGCTCTGGGAATGGTACTGGCTCCAACTCGACCATGCATTCAAAACCGGTATCACTCCATCGACAGGAACACAAGAAGAGGAAGAACTAGGCGTCCAAAGCCGAGAAGCCGTCCGCGAAAAACTCCAAAGCATACTAAAAACCTACGTCAAAGAGCGCAAGTCCGAGATCAAAAACAGAAAGAAAGACAATAATAGCAAGGCTGCTGAAACAGCATTGTCGACATACATCCTACGTTACGCACCCACTGCTACGACCACGCCTTCGACACAGACCCAACGTGTACTCCTGCACCTTCTAGTCGACGAGAAAATGATTCTGCCCACAGACAAGAAACTAGGCAGTACCATGTCCGGCGCCTTCATCATCTGGACACCCCTCTTACGTGCATTCTGCCTCGACGGCGGCGTGCTGCACATCAAGACTCTAGTCGAGCATCTCATGCGTGCTATGAACGCTACTTCCCCCGCTGCGCGCGCAATGATGAATCCGGAGATGGATCCTGTGAGGGAGGGGCTGCAGGACTGGATTGTCCATGTTCTTACGGGGGAGGAATGGGCGGGTGTACGAGGGGGAGGCGCGGCGGAGAGGAAGGTTGTGGAGGAGGTGCTTGGGGTTTGTTTCTCTGAACCGTCGTTTTGGAATTTGAAGGTTGCGGAGAAGGTGCTGGACATGGGGAGTGAGGTGGTGGATCAGGGGTTGTGGCGCAAGGTGCTGGAGGCTGCGAGGGCGGAGGGAGCGGGGGGTGAGGAGATGGATGTTGACGTCGATGTCGAGGAGATTGAGAAAGCTTTGCCGGTTAGAAAGAATGAGGGCAAGGATGGGGTGGTCAAGGAGAAGATCAAGGGGCCGACTAAGGTGTTGGGGATGTGGAAACCGAGACCGATTGGATGGCTACCTGAGGGGTGGGAGGATGATGAATAAAGTGGGATTGCTCTGGACGTACGAGACTTTATAGACATCCCTCGTTGTCACGTCAGGGACCCAAGTCGGAGGAGTATTAGATGTACGGGATATTCTCAGATTCTAACATCTCAGTAGCCATTTACCAGCTGGTGTTGGTATCTATTCAACTCTCTCTCTCTGTGTATGTGTCCTTCGTTTTGTATCCGAAACGCTTCGCTTCGTTCTCGGTATATCCTTACTCTTCGTAGGCATCTGCACCGTTTCGTCAAGTTGCGTATGGTATGTCGGACACCGCGAGGTTGTAGGTGATGCACGCAGATTTAGCCCCCAGTCCTCACAAGCAGCCCTTCTCATATCTTCTCCTTGGCGTCTGAAACGCCTATCCGGTTTTCTACCAAGCGCATGAGCTTGATCGTTTGTTCGGCGAGCGTAAGGGTCAGAATCTATGTCAATGTTAGCGACCGAGTCCCACCTATTACATCTGTCTGACATACCGTATGGGGCAGAATGCGCGCCAGATGGGCAAAGTAGCCCTTGTACAGCGCAAAGATACCCTCCGTCTTGACCGTCCGACTCAAGCAGTCAAAAGCCGATGTGTACAGGTTGCCCGTCTGGTTGTACATGCGCGACATGATGGTATCCGGAGGGTGCATGACACAGCAGACGACAAAGCCACTGGCCGTACTACTCGCAATGTGCAGCGGCATGCCCTCTTCCATGCCCAGATGCTTTACTAACCGTCTCTTTGCGAAGAAGTACGTGGGGAGTTGTACGGAGCTGCCGAAACCCGTGCGTACCATGGCTGGTCCTACACCTCTGTACAGGCCCTTGATGCCTTCGCCGCTGTATATTTGTCTCATGCCATCGACGGCGTTTCGGTAGTTGTGTTGTGTGCCGACGGGTAGGAAGGGCGAGTAGGATTGTAACCGCGTCTTTACGAGGAAGAAGGGGGAGCCGGCTGCTGCGCCTAGGACACCGGATGAAGCGCCTGCGAAGAGGTTGATGCCGAAGGATTGGACGGCTGGGTCGCTGTATACGACGTTTGTGAGGGTCTTGCGGAGGGGTTCGTAGAAGCCTAGTCGGCAGCCGTTGAGGGTCATTTGGTAGACGTACTGGGCGCGTCAGTCTCTGCTCGTCCTATTGTTTCTGGATATGTGTGCTGAACATACTGCGCATCCCAGACCGCGTAGTAAGCCTCTGGGCCCTTCATTCTTCAAGATGACGCTGACACCGTGGAAGACGCCCTTGTATAACCGCGGCGCGTCGCTTTTCGCTTTAAGCTCGCCTTGTAGTTGTAGTCTGGGCGATCGTCAACGAGCTGGTCGCGCAGGTGCTGCGAGCGAAGACGCGCACCGGATTTTGACGGTCTCGAAGCCGTGGGTTACTGTGACTGCACCGCATGCTGCTATGCCGCCGGCTATGAAGGAGCTGGTGGGGGTAGTGGTCAATACAATTAATACTGTGTTTAAACTTTATACTGAGTACCTACCCGAGGGTTGTAGACATTCTCACACTCTATGCGACTCTTCGGCGCGCAAGTCGGAAGTATGGTGGAGTGCGTATTCGATAGTGGTAGCGACGTGGGTTACCGCGCGATCATGAACACGACTGGAGGAGAGTTGTAAGAATTAGGGATGGAGGTAAGACTAGGCGAAACTGAAGCCACACACGTCTTGCGGTAACAATGGCAATGCTGAGGAAATGTCAAGGTGAATATGAATAATCGTTCCGGTTTCGGCTCGGCATGGCCAGCTACGTAAGACCGCTCGGACCCACTTCTTTCCATATGCTGCAACTCTTCAGCGCATTCCGCCGGCTCTAATTGTCCACGTCGCGTCGCGTGCTTGAGTTTACGCGCCCGCTGATTCGCCGACTGAAGCGGTGGAGATGAACGCAGTTGTCGCAGCAGAGGATTAGGAGCTCAACTCGACCATGGCTGGCTCAGCGACACCCGGCGGCGGGCCTCCACCGCCGCCTGCAGGCCCGCCGACACAGAAAGTTGCCGACGTCATAACGAGCTTCCGGCCGCAGAGGGTGAGACGAAGATACTATACCTTTGTGTATGTCCAGTACTAACGCCCTGTAGCGCTTCAAATCGGGCGGCCAGGGCACTTCAGTAACGTCCCTCGACTTTGACGACTCGGGCGAACTAGCCATTGTCGCGCGCGACGACGATACCCTCCAAATCTACAACTGCAAAGAAGGCAAGCACGCCAAGGAGCTCAAGAGCCAGAAGTACGGCGTCCATCTTGCGCGCTTCAGCCACCATGCCCAGAGCATCATCTGCGCGAGTACAAAGATCGACGACACCATCCGCTTCCTCTCCACACACGACAACTCGTATATCCGCTACTTCAAGGGCCACACCGACACAGTGACCTCAATCGCCCTGTGTCCGTCCAAAGACGACTTCATAAGCTGCTCGAAAGACAACACGGTGCGGTTATGGAACCTGCAATCCCCCAACTACGTCGGCATGCTCAACCTGCACGGCGCCTACCTCGCCGCCTACGATCCCTCCGCGACCGTTATCGCAATCGCATCCCCGCCTACCCAGAACGTACTCCTCTACGATATGCGCAACTACGATAAGCCGCCGTTCGCAACATTCGACTTGCTCGAGGCGGAGCAGCGCTTCATGGGAGGACAAAAGGTCGAATGGACCAAGATTGAGTTTACAAACGACGGAAAGAGTCTCGTCGTGGCGACAAACGGCAGCGGCCATTTCGTGCTAGACGCTTTCTCAGGCGACCTGACGCATGTCTGCTACCGCAAGGCTGGCTCCTCAGGACGTCTCCCACCCAGCGCTTCGGTCACCAACAAATCCGGTGCCAAATCCGATGGCAGTGGTCCTGCAAATGGACAGGGCGACGTGTGTCTCACGCCAGATGGCAAGTTCCTCATCGGAGGTAGCGGCGAGGACGGTCTCTTGGTGTGGGATATTTCGAAAGCACCAGCGCCGAACAATATGCTCGAGCCCATGGAGAAACTACCGGGACAGGGGAAGAGCGCTGTTGTGGGATACAACCCGAGGACAAACCTGCTAGCGAGTGCGGATAAAGATTTGTATCTTTGGCAGCCGGATCCTGATCTTATGATCTGAGGATGCAATTGTATCAGGAGTCGCACTGGAAGCTGGCTTAGCATCAGAGGAGAAGCAAGGGCGAGATCGACACATCGCGAGACGAGGCATCGGCATCGAGAGCTGCTTATGCGACTACACGTCAACCAGCACGCTCGCCACTTCCAGGAAGCAGCGTGATCGATTCTTGCACTGTAGGGTGCTCACTCTTCGGATTGATCAACGTATAGGGAAGATACTAGGTGCTCGTGGAAGAGACCACTTGAGAATCAAGAGGCTGAACCTGGTCTCGAGTGTATCACGCAGTGGATGTAGTCAAGTAATATACGTCCTACCAGCAACCAGCCATTGATTGGGCAATAAGCAGAGTACATATCTACCTTCGATCTAGTACTTTCAAGTACCCAATCACCCGCAAGTTATCTGAGCATACGTTTTGAAATACATGCCAGTGCACATGATAGCCATGCCCTCTGCTGGAGCATTTCTCCGCTACCGACTAACCATGATCTCAAATACCCTTCTCTCATCTTCGCTCTAATTACCCTTTCGGGCTCTACTACCCTTCGCTCACCGTTCAGTCGCCATTTGCCAAGAGCGGGACGGGACTGTCCTCTCCCCTCGGCCCACTCCACCGACCAACACAGCGCACTCGCCCACTACTGTATACTCGCGGATCCTGATCGACTCACAAGCTCATAGCAAGCTTTGTCCCGCAAATCGCATTTCGAGGAAGTGTGGTGCCAAGGAGCTTCTCATTGGCAATTTCACTTAGACTAGGTGGGTGGTGCACCCATCGCGATGTGGTGTAGGTGGCGTCCATATTGCTTATTCTCTCGGTAAAACGAACGAATTTTCCTTCAAACGACGCACGCTGAGCCTCATCTTCATGCATGGCGCTACGGATGCGGGTTGGGCTGGGCTGTCATGCGTTGCGTGAATTTTGTTGTTCAAGAGGAAGGAGCGTCGGTGTTAGGCCACCCTCTTCTCACAGCAGACAGCAGCACAAAAAGAGAAGGCGAATATGGAGGTCGCCGATGTGCGAGCTTGAGCATTAGTCTTTTGGACACGTCGAACGAGACGAACGAGATTAGGGCTCGTGACGACTTGCAGATTTAGGATGGGGTGGGCGAATGAGATGAGTGTGCGTGTGTGTTGTGCAGCAGTGCGGAGTGCAGCGTGTGCTGCAGATGCGGTGTAAGCTGGAGTGCAGGACTGGAGAAGGGGAAACGAAACGTAAGGTTGTTACACGAACAGATGGAAGGTCAGATGTGGAGCACGACATTGTGAGGTGGCTGTTGTTCGTGAAGCGCCGTGGTCCGCAGAGGCGGAAGGTGTTCTCCGCGGGCAGAGTTGCTGACATCAAGACAGGTGAGATAGACGTAGGAGCATCGTCGATCGCATGTGAAGGAAAGAGGCATCGCGCATACACCTCCTCTACGTACATTCGCCTTTGAGCGGTCTGCTGTTACGATGGGATCTTGGAAATTGCTGCCCAGTGATCCGGCATCTTCGTCAAGACATGGAAGCGACTGCCCCGCTATTGGGCGATCGTAAATCCCATGTCGTGCAGCTCAGCTCGAGGGGAGCCGAATGCGTCGCACAACCCCAGGGTTCTCGGATCGTCGGTGCCCTAGACCCTGTCAGACTGTGCCTCGGACATCGAATCTGCCATTCGCTGCGTCGTGGTTTCGTCTGATGGTGTACGCGCGTGTTGCTGTCATCTGTCTACATTCGACAAGGTTAAACCCAGCTTTCTCCAAGTGATGACATGGCCGCAAACTCTTCCTGCTCGATGGCGGATGGCAAAAAGCGTGATGGTGCTCTCGTTGGCTGCAGCTGAAGGATTCGGGGTCTGGGCTGATCGGCGGCATCTTGGGGAAGAGCGACAGGGTTTGACAGACGGGAACCCCTGAAGCTTGAAGCCTCACTTGAATCAAGTTTGGGCATGGAGACCTTCTCCGACCGGCCAGCGCCCATCCCCTCCTCTTCAGTCCGCGTGCGCCTCTTCCCTCAAACACGAGCAAAAAGTCCCGTTTTCGCCTCCGCTACGACGTGTTGCAGCCTCACAAAGCTGGCCTTGACCGATGCTGCGGTCGAGTCTTCAGTGGTTAATCCACAGAGTGCGTGTCTGGATGCCGTGGCTTGCAAAGACCTTCTCACGTTGTCCAGTAAGAAGATGATGTGTGCATGTCACTAGTGGTAGTGTGGCAGATGGCTACTGGGGTTCTCCGCATCTTGCCCATAGCGCTGGGTCATCCGCTCCTGCACCTCCCTAGCGATATTATTAGCCCCTCTTCTGCACAAGACAGAATACCACTTTCATCGTCGCCGACTGCTTACTCTCTGGCACCGACATGTTCCCTCGCTGGCGACCCTTTGGCTTTCGATATTAACTCGCCCAATCAGTAACTGCGTCACGCGCATGCTTACTTCGCATCTCGTCTCGGGCTCCAGAGGTCGTCTCGTGACAGGCCGGACCTCGATATTGCACGCTTACACCCCAAGCTAAGATTCGCCCTTCGTTAGCACGGCGTCTTTGGCTCCACATCCATCTGTCAACCTCGCGCCGTATCCGCACGGCATACCGACATTTCGACAGTCTGAACTAGCACCATCACACCTCGCCACTGCTAGATCAGGATTGCTGTGCGAGAATGCCGATTCGCGTCACCAGCTCCATCTCCCGAAGACAGTGCATGAAGTTGGGCAACGGAGGATGATGCAAGCCCCCACCGAGCACGCAACATCACCAACTCGAAGATTCGAAAACCTACTTCCCATTGGACAATCGTCTACTTTGGAGTTCAATATACTTCCCCAGCCCACTATGGGGCTTACCTTTTTGCCTCGCCCATCGCCGTGCGGATCCAGGAAGCGCAGCCGAGCGGTGGCGGATATCGATGGGGAACATTCTTCTGTGCAGAAGAAGAAGCGGCGCCTTCGATTGTTCCTCATCACTTCACGACTATCGCCACAGTTTTCGCACCCAGCAACCAACATTGTGGATCGCGGTAGTTCTAAGATTGCAGTATGGGCCAAGCAAAAGGCTCTTGGACGAAACCTGCTTAGAAAGGCCGCCATCCTCAATGGCATACGCAGACGATGTATCGTGACCAAGGAGGCGCAGTACGGACGCGGTCGTGTGCCAGTTGAGCAGGAGAAAGAACAGGCACAACTTGAGTTGGCGAGGCTAGAGTTCAACCATGGCAGTGTCGACACCTATACGAGACCAGTACACTCGCGGGATCCTTCAGTACCACCCAGTGCTGCCGTGAGAACTGGAGGCCACTTTGTAGTATCTGGGTCGCCTTCCAGTTCTCCAGCGTCTTCGAGAAGCCCTTCGCCTACCTCGCCATCCCCAACATTAAGAAGTCCTTCCGACGAGGTGGCCGCGTTCCGCTCGCCAAACGAAGCATGGTCTCATGCTGCAAGAGACCCGGCACCACGTCGAGACTACCTACCCCTACCGCCATCCCCACTCGGACTCTCAAACTATGACGCTCTCGACGTTGAAGATAGTGGTGATGCGTTCGACCCGTACGCTCATCTCGACGACGAAGATGAGCCGATACCAAACCCATACGAAGACGACGATGATGTGCCTTTCTCGCCTTCTGCCGTCACTTCAACTTCATCCACCACATCATACACCAACACTACACATGCAACGAGCATGTTTTCCGAATTCAACGTGTTGGGCCACGAAGAACCAGTTGTTGGCGACTACGACCAGGTAGATGAAGGCGCAGACGCGATATGGCCAAGCGCGTCTACTTTCGATAGCCCAGCACCTACACTCGCATCAACGTCGCCGGACTTTCCCGCCCTATTCGCAACATCGCAGTCCGCATCCAAGAGAACAGACTCATTCGCCATGTCGCCAAACTTCCGGCCAATCTTGCCAACGAAATCAGTCTCACCGGAGATGCTCGCCGTGAGCACCGCGGCCGCTACTTCGCCAAACTTTATGCCTACAGCACGGACGATGGCTTCTCCTAATCTTGCCCCAACACTAGCGCCAATGTCACCAAACTTCCCTCCTGTATCGACGTCGCCCAATTTCGCCTCGGCATCTGCGGCCATACCTGCCTCGCCGAATTTGATGCCATTGGCTGCTCCCCCTTCGCCGAACTTCCTGCCGGTTTCCAAGTCGCCAAATTTCACTGCGCTCGATACCTCGATGATAGGACAGAACCCGACGGCATGGAACCATTTGGACAACCACCCAGGCCGAGCAGATCAGCCAGTTCGCACGAGTGACGTAGAAGAAGAACGTAGACGGCAGCGGAACTTGATGTTCATGCGTTTTGGATCATAAGAATAGTACTCAACGAGCGAGCTTCACACGCGATAGAATCTACCTACTGGATCTGCAGCATATATCATCGGCATCACATCCACCCAGCGACGGCGCCTTTGACTTCTAGAACAAGGCGCATACCATACGTTCCGTAATCAACTACGACTTGAAAATTTCACTTCGCATTGCATTTTCAATCTGAAAAAACTTGTTTGTACCACCAAAATTCACAAAAAGGGTTCGGAGCATGGGGGGTTGGGGATGTCACAAAAAAGGAAGAATAAAAGGGCATCTGGTGTTTATTGTACTACTATATTGCGGGAAAAAGCAGGCTGTTTAGCGTTTCCACGTCCAATGGTTTGGAGTTTGGGGACTCTTTATCGTCGCAAATGGTCCACGCTTGAGTAGGGATGTTGTGTATGTAGATTAAGGATACGGGAAGCCTTTTGGCGTTTTCTGTTTTGTATGAGTGTTCAGAAGAGCATTTAGCATGTACAACAGTATCTGATTCAAATTACGAAATCATTCAACATGCCGAGATTCCAATTCCAACTCATCCATCCCAGAGAGTGACATCTTTCGGCCAACTCCGGAGACTGATCCCCGTACTGAAGTCACATCCTATGCTTTCTGCAACTTGGTAGCTCGGTCTAGAGCGATATCACACATGGCCTGAATGGCCTCCTGTCGCTCAGCCTTGATATCACCCCGATCAATACGCGAACGCATGTTCTCCATGATTTCCGATCTGGGGCGACCATTGACGAAAACACTACACCCCTCGTTAGTCCAGAAATCCCCAAACATAGACCAGTCCGAAAAACAGAAATCAACTCACACGTATCTCAGCCCCGGAAACTTCCCCTCATACTCCTCATTCAACCGTCCCAGCATCTCCCTCTCCTCCTCCCCACCCTGCTGCAACTGCGCCTGCTCTTTCCGACTCTGCTCGCTATCCACCTTCTTCTCGCCCAACCTCGGGTGCGAACACAGAATCTCAGATAACTTCTTCACATCGGCTTCGTCATCCGAGGCAGCTAGTGCGGCGAGCTGCGCATTGACGGCTGTGATGAGGATGTCATAGCTGGGGAAGGTGGCGGAGCGCAGCACGGGGAAGGTGATTGTGCGGAGGGGAGGCGAGGGCTCGAAGAGCAGGTCTAGAACGTTGGTGAGGGTGGACTCGGAGGCGTGGGGGAGGGCGCTGGCGGGTGGGAGTGATGTCATTGTTAGGGTTGAGGGTAGTGACTAGTGGTTCGGGATAGCCGTTTATTGCTTTTCTCGCGATGCGATAGTTTGGGACCGGAGATTTGGCTAGTTAGGATTTGGGATTGAAGGGTAGAAGTTGACGTTTGTAGAGTGGTGGTGGTGAGGCAGAAGGCTGTGGTTATGGTCGTGGTTCACTGTTCAATCTTTTTTTCGCGGCCGCTACCGACCGATCAGCGATGCAGCGCATGCCTGGTCATGGCCAACGACGTGCATGGTGTCTTTACGTGGGTCGCTGCAAGGGGCAAAGCTGTTCTGGATGGATAGCGGGGCAGCACCGAAGAGTTAGTGTCGAGGTAGGTGAGCTTTGCAGACGGACTGCCGTCTAGCTTTTCCTAGTCCGCGACGCGTACCGTGTTTTGCAGTAAACAATGCACGAAGCTTGTTTATACTGCACGGCGGAGTCGAGGTGCATTTTTTTCAAGGTCCGACGCGTTCCCACAGGCCCTCAACAAAGTGGAATGGACTGGGATGTCGTGTTATAGAACTTAGACTGGCTAGTATAGCTGCGAGGTGCTGTCACGTCTGGTGATGCTCGAATTTGAGCTAAGAAGATGCGCATTGGGACTGCGATCGACTGCTGGGTTGGCAGCTGTTTGCTTCTTCTTCCCCGCCTTGTCATCGGCGATATACCGGCGGCACAAGCAATGGAAGGCTTTCATAGCCGTCAGCCCTTGACTGTCGATCTGATCGAATAGGGTGTGACCTGGGGCGCCTCAGAGTTGCCGGCTGTACCTGCGTTGGTGAGGGTCTTCATGCGGGCCAGGGCTGTCATGCGTGCGAGTATCCGAGATTATCGAAGGATACCACGTGGAGACAGCACTGTATGCAATCGCTTGTACAACATCGCGTCGCTCATAAAAACAAAGAACAAACGGGCACACGTGCAGTGCAGCAGTGGTGCAGTCTGGGGAGTCGATGTCGGTGAGAAGGCGTGTGGAGCGGGAGGCGGAGATAAAGTGCCTAGTGCTCTCAGGCCATGGAGCCCCCTGTGTTTCAGCTCCACGCTCGCCTTCACTGCCCTTCCTCCAGCTTGCTCTTTTGGAGGAGACTGCTAGGCGCATTGCACGGCACAGTTCCTGAAGCGTCCATTTGCCTCGACGCCCAGCGCAGCAGCCCCAATGGCCCGCCGCCCCATGCGCCTCTGCCTCTGCCTCTGATACTCTGCCACCTCGGATCCCTGATTGCATGACCCCTACTAGCCCGGACCTCCTGGCCTCTGGCGCTTTCAACATCACGACTTGACGACTCTTCGCCGCAGACACGCACGGCTTTGAGAGTCTGCACCCCCGAGCGTCGCTTTCCGGCTGACCTGGCACCATGTCGCTGAACGGACTGGACAATGTCGAGGTCACACAGGCGTACCAGGGTGCCCTCGCCGAAGCTGGCGGTTGGTACGACGTCCCAATTTCTTCTTCGCACGCGGACCACGTGTTAACGTTTGGCATCTAGGTTCCTGCTCAGGTACACGTCAAGGGATGCCGTCGAAGTCCTGACCCGCGGCACTGGCGGTGCTGGCGAGGCGCGCGCTGCCGTCGCCCAGTACGAGGAAAAGTCACCGCTGTACGGCCTCCTGCTGTACCGCCGGCGCAAGGTCCTGGTCAAATACGTGCCCGAGGGGACATCGCGACTGCTTCAGGGTATGTGGAGGCTAGTTCCTATCATGACCACGACTAACGCTCGACAGCCCGCGTCAGTGTCCACTTCATCAACATCACCGAGAAGTTTGCGCCCCACGACATCGTCCTGTCCATATCCACCCCGGAAGAGCTCAGCGATGCCGCTCTTACCGCCGCGTGCAGTCTGCACACCGCCGCCCCGTCGAGCTCCTCCTCCAGCGGATCGTCGCGCCAGCAGAAGCTCAGCTGGATCCAAGAGGCCGCCGAGGAAGGCGCCCAGCCCGATGCAGACGGCAGTACACGACCGGAAACTGCGAAGTCCAACATACCCACCATACTGGAGCCATCTAGAGACAGCGAAGACAATCTCACGAGGAGCGGGTCGATCAACTCACAAGCCGAGACGGTGCCGTTGATGCTGGACGAGAAGGTCGTCGAGCACAAACTGTCACCACAGATTTCCCATGTCACCATGGAGACGGTAACCGAAGGGCCGACGACGCCAGACGACACCGATCTCTCGGATCTCCAGGACACGCTCAAAAGCTACGACTCGCTCTTCGAAGGTGGACCAGAACCCCGGAACTCTTCGCAGACTGCACGACCAAACTACAACGAACTGTACGAGCACTACTACGCGCAGTACACCAAACCAAAGGTTAAGCTGGGACCACGGCCGCGGCCATCGCTCGAAGGCAGGAGACCATCCACCTCGGGCAGTGCTCCGTCAGATCTGGCGAGACCGAAGTCATCGCTCCCGGCAGGTCTGCGCTCTGCGGCACGAAAGACAGCTGAGAAGAAAGAGTCCAAGACCAACGCCTCGAGCACCCTTCCCGCAATCGCTATTCCTCCTCCACACCAGGTTCCTCCAATGCCTGAGATGCCACAATCCCCCGCCTCGTCAGTATACTCCACGAGAGCCCCCGCCAGTACCAAGTCGATGCCCGTGTCCGCATATAGGAGTCACCTCAGGGCGGGAGGATCGACACAGGAGCGGACAAGACTCATGAAGGCTCTCGAGATGCGCAAGAAACAACAACAGGCCCAACAGCTGCGGAAGGAGAAGGCTACTGAAGATGCTGCATCGGAGGTAGAAGTCAAGGCCGCGGAGATAAAGGTGGAGACTGACGCCGAAGATGAAACTACGACAGATGCGACCGTTACTGCGACCGAGCCCGATGATGGCCCCTCCGCTGCACAACCTGAGGCCGAAACTGACGCCGACAAGGAGACCCTGCTTGGCGACGATCTCCCTTCCTCGTCGCGTTTAAGCCGCTCTGGCCTTGCATTCGCTGATGGTCCTACCGAGACAGACGACTTAAACTCTACTGCTTCGATTTCGTCACCCGTATCCGCCCAGACCCACGGTTCCACCGGCGCACCTTCAACACGGCCGTCGTCTATCTCGGAGGACGAGGCAGGTATGGAAGAATCGCAAAAATCTGACGAGCAAGAAGAGTCGCACAATGCGGATTTTGTGGATGAAGAGCAATCAGTTGACAGCACGCCGACGGTGGTTCCTGAGAGCACGACTCCCGTACCGCCTGTCGAAGCACAGGAGATTGCGCAAGGCCCAGTAATTACCGAGCGAGCGCCGTCGTTCGATGACGCAGATGACAGCAGCAAGAGGGACACCCTAAGGCCATGGGAGAATGACATGCCATCACAACGCCGCTCGAACCGCGAATCTACCATCTACATGCCGTCGAACGAAGGGTACCAGCAAGAGGAGGGACAGTCCAAGAGACGCAACAGGGAGTCTATGCTCATGCCGTCTTCCCAGCATCAAAGTTGGTACGAAACCAAAGGAAAGCGAC